GCCAGGATTCAATGGCAGTAGACAGAACATAGGATGCACTACTTTTGAAAGAGCCGGGAGCTTATCTCTGAAGCTCAGAATTGTATCAAGGCCAGGCATCACCCAGCCCACTCCTATTTAAACAACAACACAGAACACCCAGAACAAGCCTAGACTGGGCTGAAGGTGGAAAAGCAACAAGTGAAACGCGCTTGGAATGACTGACATCCCAGCAGGGAAGAAGCATTACCATGACAGCAGAAGAGATTTCTGTCCATATGTTTGAAGTTAATCCCGAGGAAGAGAGGAGCGCTGCAAAGGAAGGCAGGTTGTTGGCCTGTGAACTATACGACAGTGGCAGGTTTCCCTTAAGCGATGTGAGCACCATCGTCTCGGACACAAAACCAATTTTCAGCTTCTGACATAGGTTAGCTTTTTTCTGTTGGAAGATATTAAGCAGTACTTAGCTCCCATATTACCGTAAGTCACTGAAGAGTTTATATCCCTGTCGCAGAGACTAGGGGAAAAGAGAGAGAGAGATGGAATGGCATAGAGACAAACAAAAAAGGATGAATTCAAGATGGCACATTAGGGAGATATTGCCTAACCTGCATGGCTGTTAAGAGGACTAAGTAAATATTTGTATCGCTTCTAGCGGTCACTGGCACTTAGTAAGTCCTCAACTAATGTTAATCATTGTTATAATAATTATTATTTTTAGAGGAATTTGTGCAGCTTAATCCACATCACTCTTGTTCAACCTCACCCATTCTGCTCTACCCCACAAACTATAAGCAACAAATACACAAAAAGATAGGTAAAACAAAATAAAGGTATCTTTAATGAATATTAAGAAAGTCTAATTACAGTACAGCTATGTGTGAGCTCCGACTGAATGGGTTTCTATTAAGATTTAGTTACAGTATATGCCCCATGAATATGGGCTGCATTGAATTAAAGTAAATATCAGTCATAAAGTGTGCCCAATTTCAGATCTGGAGGCTTTGTGACTATTTTAATCTTTCCTTTTTCAGTTTGAGAAGGAACTCCTTTCCATAATCATGAAACTACCATTCTGAATTACTCCTTAAAAACGTTATCTGCAGTGAGATAACATTCCTTACAAGTGGCTATTGCTGCAACAAACTGTGTCCTTTAAATCATCATCACAGTGAAAGGGCTTTGAGAAGCAATCCATGACAGCCATCAGAAAATCTTCAGAGCAGGATGATTCACAGTGTCAATGACTGCCCTTCAGGAGGGACCCCACTTGCCTACTACCTGACAATATTATAGCCTGCTTCTTTTTACAAGGTAAATGCTTGCCTCCTACTTTCCCACACGGCTACATATAAGATTCCAGTCTGCCATACTAGCCTTTTGGACTCAAACTGTTTTATAAATATTTGTGGATAGCAAATTCAAAATTCCTGAGGCCGAGTTTACACAAATAAGAACTGTGTTGTTCATCCCTTGGTCTGCCTGAAGAAGGGGGAGGGAAATGGGATTGGGCCAAGGTATTTGGATTTCTCCTCTTATTTGATCCAGGTACTTTTAACTGACCATCCTCAGAAGTGATAAGAGGCAACTGTAATGCTTTTTCCTTAACGTTTAAGAGGATAAAATTCTTGAATTAATTTCTTAAAACTGATAAGGGGGGCGAAGTATATGTGAATGTACTGGAAAGTGTCTCAGTCTCTCTTTTTTTCAGGAGAGAAATCTGGAACGACTACAAGCAGGAAACACGTTCCACTATGTGAATGTCAAAACACGCTACCATCCTGACAAGGGTCCCATTACTGCTATCCGAGGGCACTAAGCTAACAGGATGGAAACAAAGGGAGAGGACGGAAAGCTACATTAGCCAATCTCTCCAAAGTTAACAGTAAAAAGTTTCCAAAAATTTATCTGACAAAGATGTAAATAATGAAAACTCAGAAAGTTCAGTCAAAGAAATCAAGATACCTAATATAGTCTTTTTACCCTGATAACTGTGTAAGCAAAGGGTTATTTGAGCATTCATTTAAGCGCAAATACTTGAAAACTACTTCTGAGGTTAATGAGTAAACACTTTAAACTCAGTAAGTCATCACTTTCACAGATATTAAACACTTTGTATTTAAATAGGCAGATAATTTGTGGAAATGTAGCTAAAGGAAGTTCCTAATGTTCTATATTCCATTGTTTATTAGGTGAAATAATAAAAATCTATTTCCTCTTGCAATTACTCAAAATGCTGTAGTAAAATTTCTCCCAATTGGTGCTAATGGAAGAATAAAAGCATCAACCACCATTAGCACTGAAGCAGAGTGGTTCCAGTAACATTGTCTGTGTGATGTAGATATTAAAGTCAGGCTGTCTTTGTGCAGAGCTATTAAACTGACTGATAAATTCAGGGCCAACAATTGATTTGACTTTTCCTCTCGATATTGGCCAGCTCTTACCTAAAGCAACTTAATCAACCAAGTATTTCAGAATCATATATATATAAGAAAGTTTGTCATCAGCCCATATACAATCCTTTCCTTTAAAAAAAAATCAGCAAATATGGCCAAATTAGATGATGCATTAGTAATTGGAATGTAAATCTGTTAAAATTCTAAAAACAGTCTTCATGAACATGAATGAGAGAAAGTAGCCCTTGGCACAAAAAAAGCAACTATGATCCCTTGTCTGTGGTTGGAAAAGATTTAAGATACACTCTTCTTGCTTTGGCCCTGATTTCCCATCCAGTGATTGAGGCCATTTAATTCTTTGCCTGAATCCTTCATTTGACTGGTGTGGGTGGAATTCTTAAATATTTAGAATAAAAAACGTAGAAAATATATGAAGAAAAGAATTAAAAAAGAAAACATTTCAAATCTTGTATAACTGGTTGACAGGCAAGGAGAAAGTAAGGTAAACTTTGCTGACATTTTCCTTTACTTAGAAAAGAAGACACAGCATAGTGGTGTAAATGCAGAAATAAGTTCCCAAACCGTGAGAGCAAAAATAGTTTGTTCCAGCGCTTACAAAACAGATAAATAGACTGCCTTTACTATTACAATATTCTCATCAGTACTTCAGGTACTCTTAACTTTCCAGTGCAATCGAACAAACGAACAAATACAACTTTGTCAAGGATTCATGCAGAGGAGAACACAACCCTTGCAGGAAAATGTGCAAGAAGAAAAGAAAGATCCTTTGTTTTACAGCCAGGAATAAAATTTATGTTCTTTCCATTCACTGGGGGAAAATGAATGTATTTTGAATCTAAATAGTACTATCAGTGTTAAATCAAATTTAAATCCTTTTCTCAAGACAGAAATAACTTCTAAAATATTTCCGAGTTTACAGTAGCCGTCTTTGTCTGTTAGTTTGCGCACAGCTGAGTGCACGAGCACATGTAAGTGTGAGTTGCTTTACGAATTCCTGGTGGTGTATGCAGAGTGCTTATGTCTGAGTACAGGACCTCATCTATAGACATAAGAAAATTAAATATTAAAACACTACTTTGTAATAACATTAAGGATCTGACACAATGCAACAAAGCCAGTAATCTGACTAATAAAGAAATTCAGCAAATCTCTACCACCTCTTCTAATTGAATCATTGCAAATTTAAAATGGGGACCAACCTGCTTTGTTTTACTGGCTCAATTTGTTTTCCTTTGATGTCTGCTTATTTTGTTACTTCCTTCATATTATTAAAATAGGTTTTCATATACTTAACGTGCCTTATTCTTTCCTTTATAAAACAGAAAACAAACTCAAGAAGCATGTAATATCAGTTCATTATTTAGGCAATCTCTCTGGAAAATTAGAGTTATATAGAAGGGTTTATGGCATTCTCGTACATGTAGTTTCACTTGAACATGTCTAATCTTCCTGAGACCATGAATCACCTCCTGGTAGAGGCTCTGGTCTTTTGATTAAACACATTGAAGTGCATTTCCAAGAGGATATTATATAATCATTAGACACTAATAGCATTCTAGGAACCGCTTCAGTTTATCATTCAAACTAGGCATATGGTAACCCATTCTGAAATACATGTTTTATCTAAAATAATAGAAAATATATGTATAGGTAAACCACTTTTCAAAAAAATCTTGCCATAAAGTGTTTACGATACATAAGCTTGCCAGTATCATATTCTGAACATACCTCTCAGTTATAAGTCTATAAAGCAAAAGTCAAATCACATGGAAAACTATATTTTTCCATTGTTTTTCTTTATGTGTTCCTCATTTTGGACTCCCCATATTGAGGAATGGTTGAATCCAAAATTTTTATAACCAAGGTAAAATATCTGAACACTAGGGTTGGGGGTGAGAAGCAAATAGACGCTTACCCAAGATAAGGCAGAACCATTCCTCTGAGACATCAACACAATAGATATTTTTTTCTGCATTGAGAGCCAGAGAACCCATATAAAACAAAACAGAATTGCTTCAGGTTACAGTACATAAAAGAACATCAATGGTTTGGGGACAGTTCTCATATCTAGCTATAAAACCAGATTTTAAACTTGAGGTTACTGACAGATTATAAAATGTTAACAGCCGGATAAACTGTAAAATATGCATTATCTACACATGAAAAGGTTACAGCTGATAAATGCTAAAATACTGTGTCTGTTGGCATTTAGTGAAATGTTTCCCTGATCCTGATTTCTGCACGGGGTGGGAAAAAGAAGAGGAAAAACCTGCTCTGCTGAGCTTTTTATTTCGCCCCAAACAAATGATGTAAACCAACCAAACCAAAACTCTCCCTTATTGTCCTAGTGGTAGATATTTCCCTATTTGCATACCTAGTAACTGAAAGTAGGCACGCTTTCTGCCAATCAATGGTCCCCTCTGCTCATCAGGTAAATACCTGGCCCTCTCAGCTGTGGAGGCGTTTCCCACACAGTGATACAGCAAAGGAAAAGAAGGTAGGAAGGGAAGTGTCCTGGAAGGGGAGGGCTCCTCTGGTTCCCGCAGTGCTTCCTCCACGCCAGTGGACCATGGCAGCCAAATATCACAGGCATAATGCTGACTCAGGTTTGGCTAAGTCCTGTTTTCTGCAAAGGCAAGTAAAGGTGACCTCTGAGTGTTCAGTGCATCAAAGAAAAAAAAGAAAGAACAAAGATTTTTAAAAAGATAAAAAAGAAAAAGTGCTTGGAAATAATTCTCAGGGCCTTATCTTGAGAGGAGAATCCCATGTGTGGCACCCCCCTCTCCAGTGTATCCTGTCCCCGCTGGCGACACAAAGACCTCCTCAGTCCAGGCTCTGCAGCAGGAACGGTCCTAAAATCCTTTCTTTAGGGGAAACAAAACTTATTTTAGTGGTTTCCAGGGAGAGTTGTATTCCTTGACATGTGGTCCCTCCAGCTGGGCCTCGGAGACCTCACAACTTTTTGGCACTGTCGTGGCACGCCGCTGCGCGGATGGTGGTCCCAGCCAAGCCCCGGGTGCTGACCCTGCGGACCAGCACTTTGGAAACCGGGATTTTTGTTCTGGGCATCTCACTCCTGGCTGGTTGCTGGTGCACTACAGCATGGCTGGACGGAAGGTTCGCGAGGTGCTTGATGCTGATGGGGATTTTCGAGTCCTTCAGCAAACTGCCTGGTGTTCGCAGTGGACAGGTGATGGTGCCTGGAGACACAGGCTTTAACCGGGACAAGCAGGACGTCTCCTCGTTGGCGGGAAGGACAGCAGGGCCTCCATCGGGATCGGCGTCGAGATCATAGAGCGCGTCGCCGCTGTAGCTGTCCCGGGGGATGCCCGCCTGTTTACCGCTGCTGGTGCTGTCTTCCTCGGGGCCGGGGGTGGTGGAGTCCCAGTAGCCCTCGTCACTGTTGGGGACTCCTTCCTGCTGCTCCTTCTCCAGGTGCTTAGGCTCCTCCTTCTGATGGAGCTCAATGGGAATCCGGTTGAGCCTCCTGCGCTTGACCAAGGCCACGTCCTTGGCCCCTTCTGCACACCTGGCGTCTTTGGAGGTCTCGGGTACCACCTTGGTCTCCAGTGCCGCTGCCGCCTTAGCCGCTCCCTCCTGGGGCCCTTGTCCTTGGTCCTCAGTCTGGGACAGCATGTCCCAGAATTCCTGGAGATAGGTGTCGTCCACCTCATCCGGGCTGGCCATCTCCTCCCCTCCTCCTTGGTAGGCCACCACGCTGGGGTTCTTTTTAGAGAGAACTGGCTTGCCTGGCCCGGAGGCATGCTTGTCAGAGCTGGGACCTGCCTCGTCCTCTTGGTCTGCAATAATATCTCCACAGCCTGTAAGAGAGTCAAAGCTTTTCAGTGAAGTCACGTCAGAAAACATCAAACAAATACGATCGGCCGACGGGTCTGAGGGTGGGTCAACAGAGGAAGGGTCAGGGACGGCAGACGCTCGGCCGCTGCCGCACTCGGAGTCGACAAGGGGGACGGTCTTTATCGGAACGTCACCTGTCCTGGAAGCATCCTCGGCCGTCTGGGCCTCCGCAGCGCCCGGCTCGGGGGGTGCCGCGGGCTCCTCGGCGCGCCGATGCCCCGCGGCGTCCTCTCCCCGGGCGCTTTTGGCGTGAGGGACCCCGGGGCTCTCGGCCTCTCGGCAGGTCCGCGCTTCGGCCGCCGCCGGCTCTCCCCCTCCGGGCTCACCTGCTGGGCCCCGCGGGCCGTCCTGGCTGGGCTCCTCCGGCTCGCTCGCGGGTCTGGGCGTCTCCTCCTTGACGCACTCCAGGCTGGCGGTGAGCGACCCCGGCAGGACCAGGCCGCGGCCGCCCGGCGCCCCCGCGCGCCCGCCGCTGTCCTCCCCCTTGCCCCGCTTGTCCTTCTTGTGCCAGCGCATGCTGCTGAAGAGCCCTTTCAGCCCCCTCTTTTGTTTGCCGCCAGCCTTGCTCGCATCCGCCTGGTCTCCTTTGCCGTTTTCGGATCTCCCGTTCTTCTTCAAAAGCGAGAAGAAGCTGTGTGACTTGGCCACAGAGCTGGTGGCCAGGGAGCCCACGCCGGGCACGGCAGCCCTGGGGGGACCGGGGTTCGGCCGACCCCCACCGCGGCCATCCCCGCCGCCGCCACTGTCGCCCCCGCCGCGCGGCTCCTCCTTCCTGCTGCTCTCCAGCACCACCACCTCGGCCAGTCCGTCGTGGGTCCTGCTCCTCACCATTCCCGTCGGACCCGAGCCTTTCCCATCCCCTTTGTTTTTGACCCCAAATATGCTGGGCATGGTGCCACCCGATTTCCTCTTCTTGAATAATTTGAAAGCGGCTTTATTAATCTTCCCCGACGGCTGCTCGGCGGCCGGAGTTTCGGCAGCACAATCACAATGCAAGTCCATGTCTGCCGCGAGGGTTCGGGCCCCGGCCTCCTCCTTCCTCCTGCAGACCCCCGCGGACGCGCGACCGCCGCCGCCGCGCTCGCTGACAGCCTCGCCGCCGCCGCCGCCGCTGCTCTCGCTCGTCTCCATGGCAACAGAGCGGGATAAGCGGCTTTCGTCAGCCGCGGGCTCGCGCCAGGCCGCTGTCATCCGTATTCTAAATCAACCTGAGCCACTCTTGCGGCTGCCGCCGCCGCCGCCGCCGCCGCCGCTGCTGCAGCAAAAGGAACACACGTGCAAGACCATCTCCCCTCCCGCCAAGGGCTTACATAATACACTAACCCACTTCGGATCCGACTTGGCTTTGAGCTGCATAGCTTTCTGTGGCAAGAGCAAGCAACAGAGCCTCCAGCTGATTGCAGAATTAGAGTCGCAGTTATGAAATTCAAATTCTATCCAATCTTACTCACCTTCAGATTCCTCCTCTAGATCTGCTCTTTCCAGAAGCCTGATCACGGATCACAAAATGCACGAAGAAATTCAACGCGGTGCAAAATGCTTATTCCTCTTATCGCCCATCCTGAACTTCATGAATCTGCATGCCTTTCCCAAGCCCTTCATGTTTGTCCTCACTGTTTGGGTACCAAGCCCAGCAGGCAGGGAGCTTGTCTGTTTACGTGTGTGTCTTGTCCAGCACCCAGCACAATCTCCAGGTCCATGTTGAATCCTTATTACTGCGGTTCTGATTCTTGCTACATAAACACCAGCCATTCGTCAAAAACCAATTAGCAACTCTGCAAGGAAGCTGCAACAATTCCATGAGGTGGAAGTTGAGTGGTCCTTTGGGACAACCATGGCGTTTCTCCCAGACTCCAGCCACTGGGGCTGAGGTCACTGAAGCCACTGCCCAGCCACATTTGGTTGCAATGGAGGAGGGGAGGATGGAGGACACGGTCTGAGAATCTCAGGTCCACTCCACAGGTGGTCCTGGGAGTCCAGGGTCTACCTTCTCCTTTTCCATTCAGCAGGACACAGGCATTACTCCGGGCTCTTCTGCTGCCGCCTCCCACAGCAACATCCCCCACACCTGTCCTGCAGCCCTCCTCCCCCTAGGGGGCAGGGAAAAGCCTGGTGGGGTCCCTGAGTAGCTGGGAGTCTCTGCAGCCACTTGATCTGGGGAAAAGGAAAACCTCGTCCTGGGGAACAGCCTAGGCTGGGGGTCTTTTCTGTGCTCTGACTTCAAAGGTGACTACTAATCTTGTAACCTTGACACCTGAGTTCATGATCCTAGCTGAGGATTTATTAGCAAAAAAAGAAGAAATTTGGAGAAGCATGTACATTTATAATTTATGTGTTTAATGTTATTTAACAATATTTTGTAATAAACATGTAGTAATAGTATTTATTATATATAATACATTCATTATTATTTATTAAATATTATTTCATAATATGTAATATTTACATGTATACAAATATCAATATTTTCCCTAATCATTGTGAGCTTACTTTTTCACATGCTACTTGCATTATACCCAGAAACCCCAGTCCCCATTGGTTGAAGTTGGAGTTTTACTGATAAGGTGTGTCAGCCATTGAAGCTTCTGTAGCGTGGAACACAGTTGGTCTGAGTTTAGGCCTTGGGGTGATTAGTTGTGTACTTGCCCTTTTCTGTGGATTTTTACCAAGAACATTGTTTTGTAAAATTAAGAAATCAGAGTTTAGATTTAGGAGAGGTTTCTAATCCCATCAGCGCTCTCTCACTTTAGCAGGCTTCTCCCCCAGGACCAGGACAGAGGGTAAAGCTGAGACCAGTGAGAGGGTCCACTTGCTGTGATGAATCAGGGTCCTCACCGCCATGAGGAAGAGCAGGGGAGGAACTAGTAAGAGAAACTCATTTATTATTCCTTCACAACCTTTTGGAGGACAGTTGAAAATCTTCCTCAGTTCTTTTACATGCATCACACAGTGGCTTAGATATGTGGGTTACTACATAAATGTCAGTCTGAAGGACCTTACGGCTGGGATCAGGGAAAAGTGAAGTAGTCTCTAAAATATCTCCCCTTCTCCATCCCTGAGCCTGAGAGTCAGGAGAAGGTGCACCTGATTACCCACTGGGAGCTCTGACCTCCCAGGACAGCAGAATGTGAGTCTCATTTACATGACAACCCTTGCTCCCCCACCCCCCAACCCCAGGAGAAATTTGGCCAGGACTTTGGGATGGATATCACTCTTTGAGACATAGACATTCAAACAAAGAGAAAGGGACAAAGCAGTCTTCAGTCTAGGGAAGGTGTCCTGGTGGCGACTCATTGGCCCTGAGGTAGAAGAAAGCGAGGAGACCTGGAACTCTCCAAAGGCCCTGGGTGAGGCGAGCTTTAGAAGCTGTGGTGTGAGTGAGGACCCTCAAAAGTCTTCCAGCCCAAGGTCCTTGCTAAGGGGACTATCAGAGAAGGGAGAGTGAGGCCAGGTTTACTGAATGACAGTGAGGAGAGCCGCAGGTGGCAGCCTGAAGCGAAGGCCATTGTTATGAACCATTGCAAAGGTTTGCTCACGCCTGAAATTGCTCTTCACAGTCAAGCGTGGGGCAAAGCGAAGATTGCATTTGCACAAAATGGTGACTTTTTCCCCTGAAAGACTGATCATGACAGTGAAGATAATTTTGCTGGAAGCAGCCTGTTTTGGGTTATGGTTTCTTCTTTCACTCCTTCTCCCCTCCCTGCCACTGCCCTGCCCTGCCCCCATTTAAAGAGCGAACAGAAAAATAGAGTAGAGGGGAGTGGAGAAGGGGCTGAGGGGAAATGTTTCAGAACAAAGCTGTTCTGAAAGGATAGGATGCTTCACAATGTAAACAGCAAGTGGGTTTTGCTGGAGACGTGCGCGCTATTCTCTTCCGGCATGGGGAGGGTTTGTCCTTCAGTCTGGGCTTTTCTCTCTGGGTAGCCAGCGTCTCAGGAGGAGGATAAACAAAACAAGAAAAAAAAAAGAGAAAAACACGGGAGGAGACATTTGAGAGCCCATCCTCCTCCTCCTCCTCATCAGTTCCTTTCCCGGGTGTCTTCTAGCCCCTGCCTTTGTCCTAAACTTGCTGCGTGGAATTGTCTATCTGAGGAGAACCACCCAGAATGTAACGTGGAAAAGACTGCTTGAGGAGCTGCCCTTCCAGCCATGGTGGCTGCTGCTGTGGAGCTCCCCGGGTCACAGCATGCCCATTAAGGAGGCCGCTGGCTTTACTTAAATTTGCCTTAGGTCTTTAAAGGGATAATGTTTAATGAATGAAGTTTGGAAATGATACTTGAATTGGGACCAACACCTCCCATCTCCAGATCACTTAGCCTGCTCTGGACCCCAGCTCAGTCGGAAATGTCAGCTCCCTGCTCTCGTCCATCTCCACCCCCCAACCCACCCCACCCCACCATGATTATCCTCCAAGACGAGCTTTAGAAGCCCTGTGATGTGAGTGAAGACCCTCAAATGTCCTTGTTATGAGGACTATCAGGAAGAGCCCAGCTTTGCTAATCTTGACCCTCATCCTGCAGTCACTCTGTCCACATTTGCGAGGCCTGTCCTTGCCCTCCGAGGGATGCTGTGGGCCTCCTACAAGCTGAGACCACAAGGTGAAATGCACAGTTGCCAGAAGAGAAATGTGGGGGTGAGCCTTGCAAGGAGCCTGGCCCAGGAGTCAGTGCTACTGGCACTTTCCTATACCCTCCCTCCTGGGGAAGACAAGGCTCCAGCCCAGGGCTGGCAGGGTGAGGACCAGAGAGGTCTGAGCACGGTAAGCCCCGAGCTAGCCTGAAGTTCTTATGTTTTCCTTTCCCTGTTTTGATTCCTGATTTTTCCCAAACATCAGCTTTCACTGGGGCTTAGTAGCTGTTCTGGGTATATGTTTATGCAGAGGAGAAATTCATTTCTAATGAGTAACATGCAAGTGTAAAAGCCCGGCACCTCCTCATTTTCCACATTAACCCTGGAGCACAGCTGGGGCTGCTGACGGGAAAGGCTCCTCTCAAGAGGAGACAGAACCCCACACTGGCTCTGGAGTGACGGGGAAGCTCAAGGAGTGAAGTGTTCTGGGTTCAGCAGGTGGTCACTCATAAGATGTCACCTCAGCCCAGCCCCCATGGGTTTGTACCTGGATCCTAGGGCAAGGGGGTGTGCAACAAAAGACAAAATAAAAGTAAAATGACACTGCTCTGTAAGGTTGGTGGACCCCAAGGGACATGGGGCGTGCAGCAGCTGGCAACACTGCCATTTGGGCAGTTTCTATGCCTCTCTCATAACTTCTGGTTACTGCCAGCAATCACTGGCATCCCCTGGCTTCTAGACATATCATTCCAAACTCTGCCTCCATCTTCACATGATGTTCTCCCCCATGTCCACCTGTGTCTCTTCTCTTATAAGAACACCAGTCATGTCGGATTAAGGGTCCACACTACTCCATCCAGCAGGACCTTGTCTTAACTTACTTCATAGTCACAATTGCAAAGACCCTATTTCCAAATAAGGTCACATTCACAGGTATCAGGGGCTAGGACTTCAACATATCTTTTGGAGGGCACAATTCAACCCACAACAAGCATCATTGTTAGCAATAATGACAGCATCCACTTTACCTTCATTCCTTCAACCCAGTCACCAGTGCCCTTGGCACAGATATTAATGTCTTTGGACTCACATTGTTGAATTCAAATTGGGTGTGGGCTGTTCCAGCAAGTGTGGGCCCTCAGCAGATTTCAAGGTCATGGATGGCACTTCTGGGGTTGCCAGCAATGAGGGGACAGTACCAGTACAGCCAGAGTAAACAAGAAAGAAAATGGTGTTTGTCAAGAAGACTAGATCTTGGCATACATATGTGAGACCCCGAGGTCTCCCAGGATTACCCAGGAGGAACTTAAGAGGGTATCAGAGTTCTATGTAGTGTATGGGATAGAGTAACAGAAACACTGTGGCTGTTATTGTTCTCCGATTTCCTGCACATAAGCCAGAGTGGCCAAAGAAACACGTTACATCATTACCACTAGTCTGCTCCTCCCAAGAATTCCCTATTCTCCTGGTCTGCTATTTGGCTAGAGCTACCCTTAGAAAATATTCTAGCCCAGATTGCAGAGCGAGGCAGGGTCCCTTCAAGCTGTCAGGACCAAAGGTGGGTGCAGGGAAGCCAAAAACAGGGCAGAATGAGGTTAGATAGCAGAGGGCGTGTGGACAGGATGCCAAGGCTTTGGGCATGGATGAATGCACATCAGGGAGCAGCCAAACTCAGCAGTGGGAATCATCTAATCCTAGCAAGGCTGCAACTAGAACCAGGGTCCAAGATGAGGGCCCACAGGTGTTACTGAGGAGGCAAGGCATAGGAATTCAAGTGTGTGAACCTGGAGGGGCTGCAAAAAATGAGTTAAAGCCCAAGCACCTGCCCCCGTGGGTGTACTGGCACTCCTCTTAAAGAAACACTCCTCTGTGACTGCCTTTTGACACAAAGCAGCACCACACACAGGGATGGTCCAGCCCTCTCAGCAGATAGACAGCATGCACACACCACCCTGTGTAGCTAAGGTAGGCCCTCAGCCCAGGTTCCTCATTCCTGCCTCCTCAATTCCTTGCTCCAGCTGCACAGGAGCAAGCTGCTCTCTGCCTCGGCATCTCCTCATGGCAACCGTGACACCTTCTGGATCACTGGCTCCCTTTCTCACTTACTTCAGCTACTTCAGCTTCAGGCTCAGAAACACGAGGAAGTTCCCTCGCTTTCCTATGCCACTTTTGTTCCTTCCCTGCCCCACATCATAACATCTCCTCCCCTGCCCCCTGGCAGGATGGCACAGAGGACACACACAAGG